GCTGAGCTGGCAAAGGGACATAAAGGAGTATGTCAAGAAATTCTTTGAACTGATGCTACATATCTCAGATCTAGGTGAGAAAGATGCCTTATTTGCTTTCATGAATGGGTTGAAGCCATGGGTGAAGCATGAGCTACAACGAAGGGGAGTTCATGACTTGGCTAAAGCTATGACTACTACTGAGGCCTTGATAGAGTTCAAGCCTCTGAAAAAGTTCGAGTCTTCCAAGCCTAAGGGTAAGGGCAAGGATGATAGGGATCGAAAAAAACAATCCAAGAGGAAGGACCATGATCAGAAGTCTAAGGATGGAGACCGAAATCGTTCAACCAAAGATGGTAAGAGAAAGCCACTAGTAGGCAAGTGGAAAGCAAAGGGGGATCGAGAGCCACTAGCATGCTACCTATGTAGAGGGAGCCACATAGCGCATAATTGCCCACAGAAGGGCAAGCTCGGGTGCTGTAGACAAAGAGTCTGATGATGAGCCAGAGACAAGGGCAGTAAAGCTTGGGTCTTTGGTGCTCAATGATGTCTAGAATAAGAGGTGTCGTAAGCCAAATGGCTTGATGTTTATGGATCTGATGGTTATGGGTAAGAAAGTGAGCGTACTGGTGGACACAAGAGCTCGAAAGCTTAGACTAAAGGTGTAGAAAGGGATTGGTACCATTAAAATGGTGAACTCCAAGGAGGTTCCAACCATTGGAGTAGCACGGGGAGTGGAGTTACAGCTTGGAGACTGGAAAGGCAAGGAGACCATAGAGGTAATACCCCTTGATGACTATGAGTTTGTGATTTGGTTAGATTTTCTTGTTCGGATTAATGCCCTCTTTGTGCCTTTTACCGATTATGTTTGCATCTTGGATGCTCGGTGCCAATGCCTAGTGCCATTAAGGTAGCCAAGAGGTCGAAGAAGTGGGTAGACCAGAATAGGTGGGACATGTAGTTCCAGGTCGAGGACTTGGTGTTGGTGAAGCTGCATCCCATTGTGCGGAGGTATAAGGGACCTTTCTGAGTAATCAAGAGGGTAGGCAAGGTTGCCTACAAGCTGGATATGCCACCTAAGCCAAAGGTACACCTGATGTTCCATGTAAGCATGCTCAAGTCATTCCATGAGGATAAGGGAGATCCAGGATGGGCAAAGTCAAAGCGTGCGCCATTGGGAGCAAGGGCCTCATATGAGAAGGAGGTCCATAGCATCATAGCTGATCGAGAGGTGAGATGGAAGAATTATCAACCAAGACAAGAGTACTTAGTACACTGAAAGGGACTTTCAGATAATGAGGCAAGCTGAGAACTAACAGATGACTTATGGTAGTTCAAGGACCTGATCAGGCAGTACCATGTAGAAGATGTAATAAGGGCATTACGCAATTAGGTGGGGGAGAATGTCACATCTTGGGTGGGCGTGTCAGGCATGTCCGGCACACCAGTACGTAAGCTAGAGGTTGAGGCCCGTAGACCAGGCGTGCTGGTAGGTATTTAAGCACAAGGCCTAGAAGACGAGGCCAGAACACCCGCCCAGCTTGCAGGCCAGCCCGTGAGGTCAAGGCTTAGCATTCAGGCTACCCGTACCACATCCAGAAGGGCCCAAGGTGCTAGACGTGTAAGTGAAGCTTCTGAAAGCTTGTAGGATCAGCAGGAGCCTCCTGGCAGATTTGCTTGACCCTAGAAATCAGGAGTTAGAATCCTGATTGATTATAATCTGTGTAATCCCATGATTTTAGCCTTTATTCTAGGGATATTGCCATTAAGTGTAGCTGGAGCCTCAACTATAAATAGAGGGCTGCTCCACCCTTATTTGTACACCATCAAACACTTTTGTTTCAGTGAATATACAGCATATTCCAGCATTCAGACTTGTTATCCTATTTCTCTTTAACTTGTGTAATCAGCCCTTCCCATTGTTCTAGTGCTTGCATGCTTGTGTTTTAGGCTGATTTAGGCATAAAGGAGGAGATTTCGAGCCTAAGGCCACACGGACTTTGAGTCTAAGGTCGGAGCCTGTGACACCCACACTAAGGCCCTGTATGTGCCGATGGTGTTCGAGGCAACCACCTGCACCAAGGACCAACATGTGCCGATGGTGTTTGACACAACCACCTGCTCAAGGGGCCATCTTCTACCGATAGTGGTCAAGGCAAGTGCTCGCACCAAGGGTTGGCTTGTGCTGATGGTGCTCGAGGCAACCGCCTGCACCAAAGCCCAACATATGCTGATGGTGTTCGAGGCAACTGCACGCACCAAGGACCATCTTTTGCCAAAGTTTATCGAGGCATGGCACATGCCGATGGTGGTCCAAGCAAGTGCCTATACCAATGGCCAACTTGTGATGATGGTGGTTAAGGCATGTGCCCGCACCAAGGCCCAACACGTGCCGATGGTGCTCGAGGTAACCGTTCACACCAAGGGCCATCTTCTTTCAATGCTCATTAAGGCATGCATGTGTCGATGGTGGTTGAGGCAAATGCTTATTCCAAGAGCCAACTTGTGCCGATGGCGATCGAGGCAAGTGCTCGTACCAAAAGGGAGCCTGTGACGATGATGGTCGATACATGTGCCATCACCATGTGCCATCATGTGCCGTTGATGGTTAAGGCCTTGGCCGAAGTTTCATTTTGAGCCATGGTGCACATGCTGGGCTCGAGCATGTGCTGGTGTCAATTTTTTTTTGCCCGGGGCACTATCGTCGAAGAACCTGACTGGCGGCATTGGGGGTTCCGACGATTGAGGGTCCAGGGGGTGTGCGTAAATGATGTGCGATGGGTGCTTGTACTTCGCCCTTATATTGGCCCCCTATCCCTCAACAAACCTCGACAACACACACCCCCTTAAAGAGCATATGAGATTTTACAAGTTTGTTGCCAGTAACCATTCAAGTGTCTAAAATGGGGATACTTTTTTCAAATGACCACAAAATCTTCTACATTTTGAGTTTTTAGCTGAATGTTTTTGTGCATGGCAAAAAATATACAAGGATCAGATCTACCAAATTTGGGGCCAAAATGCCTTCTAAAAAAATTTTAAAAAATCTCAAACCACAAAATATTTCAAAAATCATGAAAAATAAAACATGAGTCATCTTGCCATGAAACTTCACATGAAGGCTTAGGGGACCATTGTAAGAATTTACAAGCCATAAAAATGGCATTGGCATGGTAGAAATATGAAGATGTGCCTAAACTCACCTACCATCCGATCGTGGTGCGCATGGTGCTCGACCCGAGCTCAGGACACCCACGCATGGTGTGCGGGTGCTGGGGAGTGCTTATATGAATTCACAGGCCATAAAAATGGCATTGGCATGATAAAAATATGAAGATGTGCCTGAACCCACCTACCACCCGGTCGTGGCGATCATTGGTGCTCGACCTAGGCTCAGGACACCCGCGCGTGGTGCACAGGCGTTGGGGAGCGCTCATATGAATTCATGGACCACAAAAATGGCTTTAGCACTATAGAAACACAAAGATATCCTTAAACCCACCTACTACCCGATCATGGTGCACAGGGTGTACGGCCCAAGCCAAGGTATGGTCGTTTAATGCTTGACCCAGCACGGGCCAATGCTGTTCGAGGGAACTGCCCGCACCAAGGTCCAGCATGCACCAATGGCGGTCGAAGCATGTGCCAAGACCAAGGGCCAATAAGTCTCGATGTGGTCGAGGCATGTGCATGTGTCACG